GCGCCCACCCGGGGGGGGGGGGGGGTGGGCGGGAAGCAGCAGGTTCCGCTGACAACCCCCATGTTGGGGCTGGAGGCACAAGCCCAAGGGCTCCGGGGCTCCACCGGGCTGGTTTCAGCTGAGCAGAGACAGAGGTAAAGGCTGGTTTATGCAGCCCAGCCCAGGCTCCCGCACCAGCCCCTGATCTCTCCCGCTGGCATTAGAGAGCAGCAGGGTAAATTATTCACGCTGTGAACAGCGCTCGATAAATGAGCTTGACCGGCTCTTTGTTCCAGCCCGGCAGCCCTGGCCCTTGCCCCATGCCCTGGCCCAGAGCAAGGCACAAGTTGTCCCGTCCTGTCCCCCCACCTCTGCCTCCCTCCTCGCCAGCACTGCCCTGCGCTCGGGGGACGCGTCCTGCCCTTCCTCTCTGTGAGGACAGATCCTCTTTTCTTCAGTGCTAAGGAATCTCTTGCCAATTATTCTGAATTTGTTCCTTTTTATCTCCCTCCGTTTGCTGTTCTGAACTGATAAGATGTCCCACCAGAAACGGCTCTGCATCAGGAGAGGTACAGAAAGCTGACAGTGGATTTTTTCTGTATCTTTTGCCCATCTTCATCTTTTCTCCCCGGGGAAGGAGGCTCCCGCTGCGCATCCCTTCTCCTGATAACTTGTGGCCCAGGCTCGTCTCACTCCTTTGATGAAGGAAAGCCATCTCAAGGGTATTTTCAGTCATTCAGCTGTGCTGTGCCCAGGACAGAAAGCCACCGCGCAGCTGGGCTGTCCCACCAGGAGCTCAGCAACATCCCAACGTCAGGAGAGCTCGCTGGCCCCGGGTGCGTGGGCAGCCGCAGGCAGCTGCCAGCTCCTCCTCTGCGGGGCTTTGCCCTCCGCTGTTCCTCAAACCATCCCAGCCAGCGCAATGGATAATAACGAAAAACATATCCAAACACTTGACAGAACATGAAAGCCCTTTGCTGGGTAACCCAGCAGCCAAGCCATGCAGGGCCCATGACAGGACAACTGCTGTGCCCGTGCTGGCAGCACATCAGCGGCTGTGGCCCCGAGGCATGGCTACCTGCCCACCAGAGCCGGAGAAGGTTGTCACCGGTCAGGTCTCAGCATGTTGGAACGGAGAGGCACAGGCAGCAACGTCAGTGAAATTGAGACGAAAATCAGCCCGCTGAGCATCGCCTGAACTGTTCCTCTGCGGTTCGGCTAAATGAAAGAGTATGCCTTTTTAATGCAACGTGTAATTAGAGAGTGTAAGTCACAGCCAAAAGATTTTATTGAGCCAGAGAATTAGACAGTTGCATGAGTAATGAGAGCGGCTGCTGTCGCACGAGCCAGTTGGGATCGGAACGGCCAGGGCAGAGCCCCCAGCCCCTCCGCCTCAGATCCGGTCAGCAAGAGAAGCACTCCCAAAGCCTCCCTTCGCTGCTGAATGAGAAGATCCTTTGCTGAGATTAAAATGAATTTATTATTTCACAGTCTGGTATTTACATCACATCTGAAGCAGGTATTACATACCCCGTTACAAAAACGTCTAAATAACGAGTCCCACGGGTGGCAGCCGGAGCACGGAGGCAGGCGGCTGCACGCACACCAGCGTCCCCGGGCAGCGCGCCACGCTGCCAGCCCCTGCGCCGGCTCCAGCTCCCGGCCCCTCCTGAGCCGGTGCGTCCCCCCGCACGGGTCACGGAGCAGGACTGGGGTGCCCGGGGAGGTGCTGGCCCTGCTCGCGGCAGCGATGCTCTTGCTCAGGCCGCATGCCACCAGTCCCACCCGTGCAGCAGCCCCAGTGTCCCCAGCCCTGCCGATGTCGGGACCACAGGGCTCTCGTCCTCTCCCCCTCGAGCTGCCGCACCAGGGGAAATGGTGCGTCCTGGAGAAGGTCACGAACTCGGGGCCAGGAGATGGTACATTTTTCTTTATTTTTAGTTAATGCAATGAAGCCTGGCTCGGTCTGGGTCTCTGGCTGGGCATCTGCATGGTGTCAGGCATGCCAGACCTGCAAACAGAAGAGGGCTTCCCCCACACATTACTCTGAAATTCGATTGCAAACACAAGCAGTAACTTGGTGCCTGGGACTTGCACGGTAGAGAACAGATATTAAACTCGCAGCCTGATTAATGCAGTTACTGAGGAAGGAGAAACCAGCAGCATGCTCCATGGAGACATTTCACCATCTCCAGAGGCCGACGGGGTATCGGGCACCCCTGGCCATGCCGACGCATTTGCCACATGTGGTCACAGCAGCCAGGTCACAGGGCAGGGAAAGCACAACGCTCCAGGGGTCGGAGCAGCCCCCGGGTGACACAGGATCAGGCCGGAGCTCAGAGCCTGCTCCTGGGAACCCACAGGGCCAGGAGCCGTGAGCCAAACGGGGGAGGGTTTCACAAAACCATTGACTTCCCAATTCCTGACAGCGACCCTGATTCAGCATCTTGGGAGATGGGGAAAGGTGACTCACATCAATGATTTCAGCTATTTCAGAATAAAGCCCATTTTGGGGGACCGCTGTCCGTCTGTCTCTGTATTGTCAACAGCTCTTACATGATTGGAGTATTTTATTTAAGAGGATAGGAAAATGAGCCTGTTTCTTGGTCAGTGGGTGTGTCCACAGGGGAGGAGGGGACCGTGGAGCAACAGGGGTCTCCCAGCTGTGCCCAGGTCCCATACTTGCAGCCTCTGGGGAAGCCGGGGCTCATCAGACGCTCTGATCCGGTACCTGGCACGGTCCCGCCAACGCACGCAGGATGGCAGCTCCGGAGCATCCCGCCTCCGCAGGGACCACCTGGACGGGCTGTGTCCTGCTGCTCCCGGCTCTGTGGAGCACCGGGGGCCCTCGCCGAGGCTGGTCAGCCGCTGCCGAGTTGCACGGAGGCTATCGTGTGACCTGCGGGCAGAAGAGAAGAGTGGGGCAGGCACCTGCTAATGGCAACGGTCCATTTGTTGGCAGTGGGCGAGTTACCCAACGCATCCCGCTGATTCCCCCATCTGCGAATTGTCAGCGAACAGCCTCGGGACGTGGGTCTTTGCATTCATTTAATGGGGCAGTTGTTCCAAATTTCAGCTTATGGATTGTTTGTGAACCCTGCGCTCTGGCTACAGATTCCACTGGGGGTCTGTCTGCAGAGGGGACTGGGAGGGGCAAATCCGGCCCCTCTGCACAGTTCCTAATGGGCACCCAAAGTCACCAAAAGTTCTTTTGAAAACATAGGTCTGCGTTTCCAAAACGCCACCTCCCTAAGGGAGGGCAAGGAACCCAAAAGAGGTGCTAGGAGAATGGCCATGGGTCGGGGCTGCTGGACGAGGGAGGAGAGCAGAAGCCCTGGGGTCCTGCAGATGGGAACGGTCCCCAGTGAGAGCCCAGGACAGCAAAGCCAGAGCAGAAGCTTTGGGCTAAGTTAGCAGCTGGGGGAAAAATAACAAACAACATTAAGATGGGAAAAAGTCAATGAGCTAAATGCAGTGCTGCAGTTAGTGGTCAGTGATGGATGCCCAGGGCCAGAGGAACCTTCTTGGATGTCCATAAAAACACTTGAGCATGAAAATGCTTTCCGTGCACAAAAATAATAGCAATAATGAAAAAAATCCCAACATCACTTAATACGATAATTTTATGGCAGGGGATGTGGGGTGAGAAAAACTAAAGCATAAGGAATAATTACACTCAACAGTATGAACAATGATTACAAAATTATGCAACTGATTAACCATGGCATATATGTAATTACTAATGAGTTTGATAAAATTTTAATTATACCTTGTTCTTTGGGGCATTCAGCAAGCCATGAAAATAATAATCATGTAGCACTCTGTCACAGATGATTGCCTCAGACGGGGGACTGGTGATGGATTCAGGGCTGCACCACTGGGCTGGGACAAGCAACCTCCTGCCCCAGAGCAGTGGGGAGATGCTGGGGAGCAGCCAGGACAGCCCAGCAGCCCCGGGCTGGTACGGCAACATCCCCAACACGCCTGCTCGTGGGCTGAGCCACGCAACGCCCTCCTCACTGAGCCTCCCCGCAGGAGTTACCGATCAGCAAAGCCGTGGGACCCACTCGGGGTTTGCGCTACCCCCACCGGCCCCTCCAGCACCGATGACAACAGCACAGCCCAGACCCTCTGCTCTGCTTCGGTGCATCCACAACAAAGGGTCCATGCCCTGGAGAAGCCGGAGCTCTCCCCTTCCCCTGCGAACTCTTCGGGGACACTTTCCTGGGTTTTTCTTACCCCAGGCTGGAGAAAGCACAGCCAGGCTTCCCCCGCCAGCACCCTGCCAGGGGACATACCTTGGTCGTCTTCACTTTGTTGCCGCTACTGCAGCTCCAGCCCGAGAGGTCGGGCAGCACCTTGCACTCCTCCCCGTCGAGGCACGGCTCCATCTGGCACCACCACTTCTGCAGCACGATGGAGGCTGGGGGAGAGGAGGGCGTCAGCGGCCGGGCTGCGGCACGGGGTGCGGAGGGTGCCAGCCCTGCCTGCCTTCGGGCGGTGGCAGGAGGTGCAGCCCCTCTCTCCGGCACAGCCCGCGTTTGCAGCGACCCTGCTGAGGAGCTGCTCGTCACCCACCTGGCCTCGCTCCGAACCTGTTTTCTCTTGCTACCCCAGGTAAAAAGCCTAAGGACAGCCCTGTCCTCGCTCCCAGTGAGAGCGGGGAGAACACCGTTGTTCAATAAGCTACTTCGGGCTCCGCTTACGGAGGCAAAGGGACTGTCTACTACCGCTCTACTCTGTTAGGCTCTTGTAATTTATCCCTCCAACACGGGTAACCAGAGAGGGCTCCCCTCTATTTGGGAACGACGCCACACACAAGCTGTTTGGGACAACGAAAGCCTTCCCTGATAATTCATCCTGGTAATTCTTGGTGTTGCACACAAACACACTCACAGGATACCGGCTGTCAAGCAAATCAATACCGCGCTGGCAGAGGCTGCAGCTGCTCCTGCCGGCTCTTCGGTGATGCCACATGATGTCATTCGATAAAATATACATGGTTTGAGCTTTGCTTAGTGCTCCTCGCAGGTGATGGTGCTGCATGGCTGGAGTCACGTCCCTGCCTCTGGCTGCAGCAGCGTGGTGGGCAGAAGTGCAGGGATCGATGCTGCGGCGCCTGGCCCCAGCGCAGCGACGCACCGGAGGAGCTCAAACCGCTGCAGCACCATAACCCACCCACAGCACACAGCCTGGGGCTGCAAAGAGGCGGGTAATGCAGCCACACCAAGGGAGAGTGTCCCCAAAATGCCCCCTCTCCCCCTCTGCTCTGCTGCAGGAGTCCCTGGGCAGGTCTCCTCTGCTAATCCCGGGGCACAGAAACCCCACGCCAGCCTGACCGACAGGGAAGACAGTCGGGGGTTGCACAGGACCTGGCTGGCAGCTGCGGGATACTCACCATCCACGCAGGAGGGAGCTGCCCGTGTCGTCCCTGCCACCTGCCCGGGGAAGCAGGAGCATTTCACCGTCTGGGAGCGCTCCTCAATCTTGTTCTTATTGCAGCACCTGTGAGCTGCAATGACTTCACACGTGCCAGGCTCTACGTGCACTGCGGGAGGAGAAACAGCCACCATCAGGCAGGGCTGTGCCCCAGAGCCCCCAGGCCACCTCCCGCTCGCCGCCCCCGGGCAGCGCTGCCGGTGTGTGCCAGGACCCAGGCACCGGGGCGCTGGGACCCCAGTGTGGGCAGCGCTGTCCCGGCCTCTGGCAATCGCCCCAGGGCTGCTGATGACATACAAGTGGCTCGTCCCAGCATCTCCCCACCCATGAGGAGAAGCGCTGGTCCTGCTCCAGACCTCCTGCCTCTGAGCTCTTACTCCTAACAGCCTTCACACGTGTCCTACCCAGCAAAATTAATAGCCTCTTGCCACGGCCAAGCCAAGAGCTTTACTGAAACGAATGCGCACATTAATTAATTGCAGCTGATAATGAGATGCACACTTAGCTATGAGAGTGGATGGCGCATCGTGCTGCCTTTGGCTTCAAAGAGAGTACCACCACCTCCGACCCCAGCTAAAACCAATGCTCCCGTCTTGCCGTCACACACCATCCTCTGGCTGGAGGAAGGGGGAGCAGGATGGCATTCCCACCCTGCGGTGACACAGAAATGTCACAGTGTTCATCAGAAATCTGGGCTGCTCTGCTGCTCCCCCTCCCAATGCCATTAAAATATTAAGGAAGAAAGAAAACTAATGTGTTGGCTTATCACCTCTGGGATCCGGGTATAGAAGCTAGTTAGCATCACAAATCAATGACTTTCACTGGGTAATGGCCCACACAAGCACAATGCAAATTAGCCAAACGGGGCTGGATAGATTTCATTCCCATGACCTAAGAGGGGGTGATCCCTGCAGGTCCTGTTTAATGAGCACTGAAGAAGTGAGTGCAGAGCCATGCACTGAGACATCCCCTGGGTCACCAGGAACAGGCTTTTATTTCTGCAGTGAGCAGGAGCCAGGCTGTGAGGAGGACAGGGAAGCCGTGTTTCTGCAGCGTGCCATCCCAAAACGCGTGCAGATGAGCACGCATCAGGCCATCAGACCTGGCTGCTCCGCATCCTCAGCTCAGGACCGTGCACTTAGCCCCCTCCCTCCGCACCCCTGGGGCACGGGCAGGAGCCCTCGGCAGCCACGGGAGGAAAGGCTCTGTAAAGGCTGCAAGCAGGACATGCAGGGCTGCAGGGTGCCGTGCTGCTGCTGGTGGAGGTACCCGTGAGCACAAGCCCACGCTCAGCCCTTTCCCAGCACACATGGCTCTGGCAGTCGTTCCAACCCAACCTGCATTTGCCAGCTTGCCCTTGCCATCCTGCCCGTACAGCCTCAGCTCCCAGCTCTGCTTCGCCCCCCCAGCCACTGCCAGGAGGGTCCTGCTGAGGGTCCCAGGGCCCCATCCACCCCCATCCCCGCAAAGTGAGGCAACCGGCCCAGGGACTTCGTGCCGCAGGTTCGTGCCGGTGTCCCCTGCCCAGCTCTGCGGGAACCACCACGTGAAGGGGAGCGGAGACGGCTGACCTGCATCACAGCAAGTGCTCCTGTGTGTCCCCGGGGAGAGGCAGCACGTACCCACGCTCACCAGCAAACACCGCCTGCCTTCCAGGAGTTTTTGGAAAGCAGCCACTTCACCTTCTCAAATGAAAACTCAGGGAAACGGGATCTCTCCCCAGGCACTGGGGGAAATCCCTCTGCCTTGCAGCCACATTTTCACATTTCTGCCGGGAAATGCCGATGCAAGCGCAACTTCCCAGCTTGTGCTGGCTGGGCACAGCTGCGCCAGGTTTCAGCCAAAGCAGCTCTTGCCTCTCTCCTGTTCCCACCGTGTGCGAACACCAGCCGGGAGACAAAAGGACAGGACACGAGAAGCCACCCCAGGACCTGCTCTCCAGCAATGCCACCAGCCTGGGGCCAGGGCAGAGAGACACTCGCTGCTGTGCAGAAAGGCCACATCTTAACATGAACATGGGCAGCGACAACACTGCTTGTCCCTTGCAGCCTGTTCCATTGAGGAGCCACACACCCCTGTGCGCTGCACCCGCCGGCACATGGGCAGGATGGGCCATGCAATTGCCGTGGCTTTAATTTGGCTTTATTTATTGTTATTTCATGGTCATTTTCTTCTAATGAACCATCACTTTCACTTCTGCCCATAATAATTACACAATTACCTACCCTGGAAGTATTTTGTAATAGCATCTCTGTCCATAAATTTTATCGTCCCTTTTAAAAGCCATCATAATTCAGCTTTAATGATAATTTCCATTCTTATTGTATGCAGAAACAGTGAAAAAAAAGCTTTGGTGGAAGTGAGAAGGAAAGCAACTCATTACAGAACAAACGTGACTGTTTTGCCCTGTTTTTACAGTTAATGGGATTTTTTCAAATAATCTGAGGAATAAGCAGAGGTCCTTGGCTTTGGCGGACAGAACCCACATTCCCACCACACTTCTGGTCCAGGACCTCGAGGAGTCACTCACCCACCCTGCGCACCCCAACACAGCCCCCCCAACAGGGGATTTTACACCCTCCAACTTCAGCACTTGCACACAGCTGTGGTTTTGACTTGTTTTTATGAAAGCCTCCCTGCAAAGCTTCATTAGCAGAGCTCTGCCCAGGAGGAAGGGCCAGACGACCCCTCTGCTCCCTCTCACTTCTGCTCTCCGGCTTCTCATTTTCAGCTAATTTAAAAAGGTTCAGCTGAGGGAAAGCCAGGCAGAACTGAGAAATCGCTCATTACAGCCATGCAATAAGAGTTTGCTAACATGCCAAAGCCCTTTTAATTTGCTCAAAAAGGTGCAGCACAGAGATAAAGAAAAATTTGCCTCTCCTCCGCCTTACTGCAGCTGGCTGAGCACGGCGGCACCGCGGTGCTGGCACCGCAGTGCCGGACCCGCAGCCTCGGAGCCTGTCCTGCCCTGGCAAGAGCCCGTGGGCACCCGCCGCGTCCCTGCCGGTCACACCAAGGAACCCCGGCCGTGCCGGCAGACCGCAGGTGTGCAGACACAAGAAGGTGCTCCCATCAGGACAGACGGACGTGGTCCATCTCCAGCTTGCGCCTTGCCCCCAGCTGTCCAGGCACGCCAGGCAGGGAAGGCAGAACCCATGGCAGACGAGAGACGCTCTCGCTAAGATGCTGCTTTGTGCTCCAGCCCTGCCGGACCCAGCCCGGGGCTGCAGGTCTGCCGTTGTGCGGGGAGCGCAGAGGGCAGCTGCGAGCCTCCGAAGAGAGAAGTTCAGAAAGCCTTTGTTTTCCCTCAAAAGCATACAGCTTTCCTTTGAGCCAGTCGGAGCCCAGGCAGCTGCTGCCAGCGGGGTCAGGCAGCAAACGGCAGTGCCAGGAGCAGCTGCCCCTGCCCGGGAAGGGCTGCCTACAAAGAGCACCGTGTGCGGGGGCAGACACCCCATCGCCCGCAGCCAGGAGCTCCAGCCCACCGCCTGCTTCTGCCGCAGGATTCAAACCGTGAACAGCTCAAAGACAAAGCGACACACCACAGAGGCCGGGCAGGCTCCTGGCACAGCCCCCCAACCCCCTGGCACAGCCCCCCAGCCCCCTCGGGGGCACGCACAGCCCTGCAGCAAGGGCTGTCCTGAGGGCAGAGCTGGGGGAGCAGCACGCACCCCCGGGACCAAGCCCTCTCTTGGGCCGTGAAATACTTGCATCTGCCTCAAGGTCTTGTGACCATCCGATATCCTGCCCTGGGACACAACTACACTGGAAACTTGGCCCAGGCACTTCTCTCCAGTGCAGACCCCCCCAGGCGCCAGCCCCGGCCCGAGGCACGGCAGCAGGGCACGGTGGACCCCCTCCCCAAATGATTGCTCCCTGCAGAGCTGCAGGCTGCGTTGGAGCAGGAGGGACAGCCCCACAGGGAGCAGGGCAAGAGCCACCACTCCTGGTGTAAAGCACCTCAGGTCCCTACACAGCAGATTCACCCGCTTTCCTGCCCCTCAGCCGCAGGCAGCATGGGACCACACCAGACCTGAGTGCCACGGATGCCGACATCCAAACGAGCTCAGGAGTTCGGGGGATTGTAAGTGGATGCAAATAAACCCCTCCGCATCAGACACGGTGATTCCCAGGATGTCAGCAGGAGACTTTGCTGTTTCCTCGTTGTAGAGGAGATGAGCAGCCCTGTGCTGAGGGATGCTGGCAGGAGAGCGGTGCCAAGGGGCTGCCCGGCCGCTGCTGAGCAGCTCCCTGCCATGCCGGGCTTTCATGTCACACGCCTGGGAAGAGCGAGCAGAGCCCGAGCCAGATCGCAGGCAGAGCGATCAGCTCCTCCAGAGCTCCCTGCAGCTGCTTCTCCTTTTGCTGAGCAGCAGGAAACTTCGAACCAGATAGGACTGAAAATGCAAACCAGATGGATGGTGTGTTTAACACCGAGAGCAGGAAACCCCCAGAGAGCCTGGGATAAGTTCCAGAGCTTCTGGCACGCTTCTCCCTCCCATTTATCTGGTATTTCCCCATTGGAACTCTTTTTTAAAAAAAAATCTTATCTCATGGAACCATAAAAGCATTGTAAGACCACAAGGCTTTTGAATCCTGCATGCAAAAATAAAATAAAACCTCTGTCCTACGCTGGCTGACCTTTAAGTGAGTGGCAGAGCATGGGTTTTTATGGCATAACCTGAAATGACATATTTTTTGTGTCTCAGGGAGGCGTGGGCATAGCTCCACATGTTCAGTGTAAAATATGGCTCTGCTTGCTGGTGGAGAGTTGTAAAATGAAGAGAAGTTTAATGCCTGTAACTGCCAGGCAATGCCCAAACCCTCTGCGTCAAACCCCCTGGGATCCTGGGCACTGAAATGCCATTAAAGGGGTCCAGGTGTCCTGAGGAGGGCTGAGCAGCGCAGCAGAGAGAGGCAGAACCTGGGAGGGAGGCAGAGGGTCCGGTCCATGGCAGGGAGCGGGGCTGCGGGCTCAGTGGGCTCCGCTCAGAGGGTGGCACGGCCCCGGGGGTACCGGGGAACGAGTGGCTCGTGGGCAGACCTGGGCAGCCAGTGGCGTGAGTGATCTGTACTCTGTGCCCTGCAACAACTCTACTACTAATATTCACTAAATAATTAAAGTCTTAAAATCACTACTGCCTTAGATGCATGTATTATTTAAGAGGGTTTTGGAGAGAAGCAGGCTTGTTTTTATTGCTCATTATCACTGCATGTCAGTTGGGATATTTTACCGTCTTGTCACCTCAAGACTCTACATCATGCTCTGTCCCCTTCGTTGCATGTGTGAGTGTGCGCACATCCATGAACCGCTCGTGCAAATCCCATCACTACATACGTGCAAGCAGAAAACCAAATGCCTGGACTGTGTCACGAACAGCTGAAATTGTTTGGCCATCGTGTGACAGATGAACCTGTACGGGCACCCTGCGACTAGGGGATACAGCTCCCAACACACAACCTGCCTTCCCCTGTGGCGCCGAGCGGTGCTTCCCACGCACCCAGCACAGCTCCTGCCTCATCTAGAGAAGGTGGCTTAGAAAAAGACTCCATCTTAACGTAAAGGCTGCACATGATGGAGGAACCAACACTTCCCCAAGCGAGAGGGAATCTTGCGGAATCATCTCACGAATAAATGCCATAGGGCTGCTGCCTACAACCCGAGCAGTGACGTGCTGACCGGTAAATCTCTCTTACAAGATAATCAGAAATTGGTGCTCTGCTCTCCACTCACTCAGAGAACCTCATTTCCCGAAAGCAAATCCCAGCTGCCTAAATGCCTTTACTTCTGCTCTGGGTTGAGTGATGAATGTGAACAAAGGCAAAGATGGCACTTTGATTATCAGCATTAGAGGGGTTTATCTGAAGATGCTGGGGCCACCTTTGCAGGAGCTGTATCCAGACAAGCAAGCCTTGTTGATCACGTAGAACTCACCACGCTATATGGGGGATTAAATTGCTGGTGAATCATTCTTCACTGAGGAGTCTCCTATTCAATTTCCAAATGACTTAATCTCTGCACTTGATTCATGTGGCTATTTAAATCCAACCACATACCCCAGGAAGCACTGCTCTACTTGGACACATCAGCATTCCCCATGTGCTGGTGAGCACAAGTGGTTAGAACTTATTTCCACAGCCAGATGTTTGCAGTGTGGTGTTTCCTTGGGCAGCTAACAGAGGGTCTGCACGTGGGCTCTCTGTTCAAGAAATTCAGAAGTTTGAGGGCTCCAAAACCTTGTGGCCCCATTGTCACAATTAGAGATCTTCCTCTGCTATTGCTCATTTTTAGGTGCCAACACCTGGTTTTAACTATGAATAAACGCAATGCTCTAAACAGCTGAAAGCTCTGGACACGTCTGTCCTTTTATGCACACAATCCACCAGCATCTCTGACTGTGAGGGTCACAGGCAGGCATCAGCAGTACAGCTATCGCCATTCCCCCCTCCAGTTCTACTCCACATGCAGAAATGTAACTGCGGCCTTCCTAGGACAAAAACATCATTGCAACTGAGAACACAACCTTACGCTTATGTTTCAAACATAACCTTTACCAAAAACTGTCCCAAATGAAGCAAAAGCACAGGGCAGACAACAGGAAAATAAAGCCCATGAACTCAGCAAGCAGACTAAGAACTCCTGGTCTGAGCCCATGGAAACCCAGCCCAGGAGAGGAGGCAGCCGCCAGCGCAGCCACACCAAATACTTACAGTGCCAGGACACCAGGACGTGCAGAGAGAAACCGTGTTATAACAGACACAGAGTGGGGTCAAACTTTTAAGTATTTGCTCCTGGCATGCCCTCTTTGCTGTGGATTAGAATTTGCTTGAATAAAAAGTACAAGATTTGGTCCACTGTGGATAAGTCTGTGTGAGCGAAAAATCCCCGGCTCTCTGCCTGCGAGCACATGAATTCATGAGCCTGTCTCCTCACGTATGGAGCGAGATTTATACATAATTCACACCCCACGAGTACACTTGGGCATTTGCACTTTAAACCTGGGTGAGTCGCTGCTTTATTAATGCCAGGTCTGACTCTTCCAAAAGCAGCAGCTCCTCTGCAAACTGCTCCTGTTGGGGACCGGGCAGGTTGGGTGAGCGCTCGGCTGCGGGCACTGCCCCAGCCTGTACCCTGGGGAGTCCTGAGCTGGTCCCAAAAAGTCATTCCAGAAACGACTAAGGAGTTTTATCTTCTCACGCACCTGCCACAGGTTAGAAAGAGGGTAAGGCAGGTAACTGCTGACTAGCTGGTTGAGGGAGCCACTCTGGAAGATACGTTTTGGTTTTAAGCAAGGAGGATCGGGATTATAGGATTAGAACTGCTTTAACTGTCAGGCAAAATGACAGAAATAGGACAGGGTTACGTGTGGGGTCAGGCAAGAGCACGAACAATTTCAAATTAACCCTTAAATACCTTCTTTTCCAAACACAGGCATGAGAGGCAGACAGCACGTGCCCCAGGACTGCTCCGTACTCCAAGCACTCGCCTCTGGGGCACAAGTCTGCCAGCACACCAGGAACGTCACCTCCCACCCACCCACGCCATCCTCTCACCATGCACCGAGGAGAGGAACCCCCAGCCCTGGACCACCAGATCCCCCCTCCAGAGTGGCCCATCGGGCTCCTGCACCAGGCAGGATGGGCATGAAGGGCTGAGCACGGCTTCTCAGCTGCTTCTCTTCTCAAGACACAAACTTCAGCCGTGCGTTCATGTAACCCCCTCCAAAAATCACGCTGATTGCACAAAACAGCTTTCCAACATACACGCACAGAGGGGGATCTCAAAGCCACCGCTGGGAATAACAAATTAACACCCCAGAGCCAAGGCTACGCTTTCCAGCAAGACTTTCAGTTCTACATCAGTTTATACTTGTTCCACGTTTCAAGATGATCTTTACAACCAGAGGGCTGAAAATTTGTGTTTCTAATGAAAGCCTGAAGTGGAGAGCATCCATCGCATAACAAGCATGGTTTGTGATGCTCATTGCAACTTAGATGGAAAGAATTACCTCAGTAATAACCTGAATACATAGATGTGTCTCAGATTTTGCTACAAACATAAAGAAATTTGCTTTTCAGCTCCTCAGACCAGCTAGGCTCACCAAGCAACAGTTTTTAAATGTCCCATATTAAGTTTTTACAAGTTATAACTCCACGGAACAGCCTTACTGCTATATGGCTCCAGGTTCCTGCCTGTCCCCGAGAAGCAGCCCAGAGAGTTTCCTGCACGCATGGACACTCGAAATGCAAATCCCGCAGCCACCACAGCAGCACCGGAGAGAAAATGTCGGTGCCTTTCGGCATCCGCTTGCTGGATTTTGCCCCGCACCTTCAGCATGCTCATCCTCACTGCCCAGACCCCAAGGTCCCCCGGGCCGTTGGCCTCTGGTCCCCAGAGAAACACCCACCCACCCCCACAGCCGGTGTGTGCCACAACCAGAGACCACCTGCACTCGTCCTCCCACCCAGGAACAAGGGACGGACCCTCACCAAACATCTTGGCCCCACGTAACCCCCACCCTGGGCATCCCGTGGAGACCCCAAGGTACCACCAGTGTCACGGGGGCCCCAGGCAATTGCACAGGAGCATGATGCCTATAGCGAGGATGGCAGTTCCCCTACCTGAATGGCTTCTGTGATGGGTGGAGGCCAGCGTCAGTCTTCCCCACAGCGTGGTAAGGCAAAGAGTGAGCACGAAAACCCATTTGCTCAGGCTTTGTATGTCTCTCTCACTCATTCTACCAAAAACAAGAAGAGATGCATGGAGGAAGAGGGGCTGAGGAGGGTTGGGAGGTGCAGCCCCCACTCACCGATGCTGCTGCACACAGCGGCGCGGCCCCTGAACACGCGCGGCCACGAGGACCAGGGTGGCCTGGCTGCGGGGACACGGCCCTGGAAGGCAGGGCACGCACCCAGGATTCATCCACAGCCCTTGGACGGGCTTGGACTTCCTCAGCAGCCAGGCCATCGCAGCAGGACAGAAAGAAATCACACCAGCAGTAGCGCAGATGAGAGATAGTTACCTTTTACTGGGGATTCACACTAACATCTGCGCATCTCCCAACCTCGGGTAGGGTCAGGTCTTTGCAAGGGGCAGACATCAGTGCATCTGAAAGGAGAAAGAGAAATATGGGTAGCGATACCTGCTGTAAGTACCCGGGGAGTGCGAACCGCTGTGTCCCCTGGGAGCAGCTGGTCCCACATCGGCACACACGCTCTTGTGCACACGAGCACACGCCTGCCCGTGGCACGCAGCAAAACCTCCCTGGGAACTCAGCCCATAACCCTGCTCACCCCCTTTTAACAACAGTGGGACTCCATCTCCTTCAGAGGAGTTGCTCCTGATTTTTACTGCCGAGCGTGCAAAATCAGGCCCATTATAGTACGTTATTAACGCAGATCAGAAATACTAAATACAGACCCCGGGTGTGTGGGAAGAGCCAGAGTAAATCAGCAGTGAGTCATTCCAGGTACCGCCTTTTCCGTGTGCAGTTACGCGCTGTCATCACCCTCGTGTCACCGAGGTCCCTTGCAGTGACGCCCAAGGTCTGGCTCTCAAGGGCTGTGCTGTTGCAAACCACTCACTGACAGACGGACAGACCGACCACACCGGCTGTCCCAGGGCCCAGCACCGCATGGAGAGCCAAGGAACGGGGCAGCCGATGCCCAGGCGGACACGCGCAGCCCGCGGCAGTGCCAGGACCCGCACCCCACTGTCCCAGCACGATGCCGCCTTCTGGGGCTGCTTCTCCTCTCAGCACAGCCGCAAAGTTCATAAAACCACACAGGCAGACACAAAACTGCGTCCACTACCTTTGAACGCACCTGGTCCCCCAGGAACCTCTCTTGGCCCCTCCATGCACACCAGGGCACCGCACTGGCACCCCCTCCCACGCCAAGCAGGACGTGCTGGGAGGGAGGTTTTACATCATCTGGAGCCCTTAAGGAAAAATTTAAATCCCCAAAGACTTGGTATTTTACTGTCGACCGCTTTAAATATGTTCTCTGTACCATTTATCAGCCACGGCCCTGCAGGTGGAAACGGCTCCGGGGCTCTGCCGGCAGCAGCACGAGCGATAACAGCTGCGACGACTTCTCCGCTCGGCATTCACCAAGTGAAGTGACAGCCTCCCGGCCTCGGTTATCGCCTGCTGAGATCTAACCGGGTCCAGGGCAAATAACCATGTCCCCCATAAAACTTCAGTGCCGGATCATAATTTATTAACGAGAGGCCAGGAAGACAAGTGGCAAAGACGCCGAGGCTCGGGAGCGCTGCCAGGAGCGGGCAGCGGGTGCCTGGGCTGCCCCTGCCTCCTGCAAGGCTCGCGCCCACGCTCCCCTCCCCGGTGAGCTTTGCCGCATGGGGCCCTGCTGCCCGCACCCACCGGGGCCGACGCTGGCAGCACGGGATTCCGGCTGGGCACTGGACAAACCCGGGCTGCTGGGAGAAGAAATCTTTAATTTTCAACCATCTTCTAAGTTTCTGTCTGCTCTAGACCAGGCTGAGACAGTAAAACAGACTCATATAATGAAGTGCCAGAACAGACAACACCGACATTTTTAATCGAACCAAAGTGTTTTGAGGTGGTAAAAGGGCATTTCTTGTTTTGAAGCATTTCAAAATGAATTGTTCCGTTTTAAACTGACATTTCAGAATGAAAAATGTTTCATTCCAAAATGCTGATTTAAAATGATATTTTCCATTTTGATTCTCCCAGCTTGAGAAAAAAAAAAAAATCAGAAAATGTCACCAAAAACGTTGACATTTGCCCAGAAAAAACAGAAAGGTATCTTGACAAAACCACCTATTTTATGCTAGAAAAGAATTTAATGGTAAGAAAATACTCCTAATTAACACTGCAGGATAGTCAGCTTGGCAAGGAGCAGACTGAAGTGTGGTTGGTGAGGGCGCGGACACACAGGCATCCTGCTCCCTTCCTGGCCCCGTTCCTGCCCACTGGGTGACAAGGGACTGATCCTGCTCCAGCACAGCCCTCCTGCAGGCTACACCCCGTGCTGTGGGGACTGGAGGGGCTGTGCAGACCTGCACCGCTGCCCAGGGCCGAGGCAGCCCCGAGCCCCCCCCCAAGCCACCGCATCACCAGGACGAACTCAGATGGCTTAATGTGCAAGAAAACCATCGCTCCTTGAAGTTGGCATGAGTTGATGCAACAAGACTGCGCCGACTCCCTCGTGTATTTAGGCAGTCTCCGGCGGGGCTGTCGGCAGAATCTGCTCTGCAAGAGGCTTCCTCGGGCGGGGGGGTTCACACAACAGCCTGCACTGTCAGAGTCCCTTCAGAGATGCAACAGCCCATCACGTAAGTATTGATGCCAGCTTAAAACACGTACTATTTCCTCATTGAAAAAGTAAACAGCTCTCTCAGAGCTTCTCAGCCCTTCACGTAAATCCAGGGTCAGTGCGTGCAAAAGCGCTCAGCACTGCGGCCAGCCGGGAGCGGGGCGCGATGCCCTTGCACACCTGACGCCCTCGCACACCTGCGTGCGTACGCACGCACCCACCCCCGCCGGGCCGGGGGAGCCAGGGAGGAGCCGTGCCCCAGCTGGGCTGGGACATGTGCCAGAGCACACATCTGTCCTGCCCCACCGAGGGCCGCATCTGGCAGCCCAGATGTGAAGACAGCAGCCACGGTGCTGTCACCAGGCTCTGCATTTCTTGTGGCAGCGAGCCCCCGACGCCAACGCACATCCCACGCAGCTTCCAGCAGAGCAGCCGGGTCCCCGCGGGAGCTCAGCCCGCACCAAGAGTCCCTGGTCTCCCGGCTGCTGCTCCGGCTGCCCCTCCACACGGGGCGTGCAGGGAGCACAGCTGAGCTCCCAGGCACGAGCACTGAGCCCCACTGCACGCAACAGAGCCCCTCTGGAGGAGCCTGGCCCCAGCTCCTGCCCATGGGACCCTCCAGGCCATGTGAGGTCTGCAGCAGACATCCCTGAATCACTCGGCTAGACCAAAAAGCAAGCGCACCACTGGCCACCTCCATCCCGCACAGGACAGGGACACACTCCCAGTGCAAACTATATTTAGCTTAGAAAGGCAGAGTTGTTTGCTATAGCCACGGAAGCATAAATAAATCACAGAGTTATCAATAATGCAGCCCGCACTGTCCACACTGCGCTCAAAAGGGAAGCTACCGCGCCAAGCGGCAGGAGCCAAGCCGGCAGCCAGGGAGAGCACGCAGGGTTCAGAGGAGCACGAGGCTGAGAGGTGCCATCCCTGCAGTGGCCATCGGAGCGATGCTTCCCCCAGAGCCATGCCGGCACCAGCACTCAGCACTCCCACTCATGCACAAACTCCCGTTAGAAAACACCGCTTTGCAGAAATTGCTATTTTGACAGTTATCAACCTCCGTCGTCATGAGACTCCAACTACAAAATGTTTGGTCTGACTTGAAATTTTTCAGCCTGGAATGTCATTTTGAAATGAAGAGCGGTGTTCTGGCACGTCAAAGCACTCAATTTTGATTGAAAATATCAGTATTCTCTCTTCTGTTATGTTCTGTTTGGAATTTTGTGGAATTTTTCATTAATATTTTTTGTTAGCTGCTTTCTGCCTTTTGGGTCTGAGCTGGGACGTGAAGTAACTGCAAAGTGCCCAAATCTCTCTGAAGATAAATCTCAGTTGTAGCCAGCGCAGCAAGAGATGACTGTTCCTCTGCATGGGCCCACATGGCCCGGGCCATCACCCACACCGGAGCTGCATCAAGGTTCCCCCAGCACACAGGCACACCGGGAACACCTCTGCGCTGCCCTCCCAGACGCCAGCCACTCTGCCAGTCGCAGGAGCTAGACACTTTTCCCCCCTTCTTCATTAAAGCCACACGTGTAACTGTGACCCTCCAGCCAGGACTGCTCCGTCCGCAGCTCGGCTGGCACTCAGCCCGGCGCCCCACAGTGCTAATGAGGGACTCTCTGTCATTCCAAATTATACTCCAAGTCCTGCCGGTCTGGAGCACTGTTTGCAATGGTTCATGTGAGCTGGATAATTACAGTTAGCAGAATTCCACCCAAAAAAGAAACAGAGTGGTGGGGGAGGCTTGCACATTGGCTGGTTTTCTGTGCCGAGCGACACAAGCCCTCCCTGCTGCAGCTCTAACACTGTCAACCTTTGTGCACACCTGGCCCTACAGTTCTGCCAGTTTTCTGAACGCTATTTTCATACTCCTGCTGTTTCAGCACCTCTTGGAACTTGGGCACCTTTGTTTGGTGCAAGAAGAGGTGCAGGCTTTGGCCCAACAGAGCACAACCTGGGGGTCCACAGTGCCGGGGCAGACCTGTACCTCAGCCGCAGAGCAGGGAGGAAACCTGGCCAGAGCCCAGCTGGCACAGAAACCTTCCCGTGATGTTGGAGAGGTTACGCTGCCCGTTGGAGGGAGTAATTTTATTTTAATACTTTCCTAAAGCAAAAAGTCAGACCGTCTTAGCAAATGCCCCACTGTGCAGGACCGGGGCACAGGCTGCGCACCCAGCCCCATGACTACCCTGCACATCCCTGCCATGCCGCATGGCTACCTGGCAAACCTCATGACAGCAGTGGCCAAGCCAGCCCGTTTCGTACAAGAGGGAGGGCTGGACCCCAGACCACTGTGCCTGCTCCGTGCCCACAGGTGCTGCCCAGAGGGAAGGTGTCCTTCCCTTGCCCCAAAGCACAGCTCCATGGGCTGCACAACAGGCGATGGCAGCAGCACAGAGAGGCTGCTGAGTCTCCTGAGAAGCTGAC